TTTGCAACCATCCTGAAGAACAGAAGGGTTTATTATGATCTCTTCCAGGTGATCAGTTGGATATTAGCAAAACTAAGCATGATAGTAGATAAATAGACCACTAGTTGAATGACAAAGTTTGTTTGCATTTTTTAATATTATTGTTCTATAACTCAGGACCTTCCCAACCTCTCCTTTTTGTCTTCCATTCAATCATGTCTGATTCTTGGAGACTGCCTGGAAAAAAACCCTGCAATTTTCTTGACAAGATTTTTCAGAAGTGGTTTGTCATTATCTCATCCTAGGGCTAAGAGAAAATGACCATATTCACCTTTAAGGCTTTGTCCTTAAAGTGGCACTAGAACTCACAATGTCCTGGTTTCTAGCCTGATGCCTTAACTACTACATCGAAATGGTTTTCAATCTGTCTTTAATGAAAAGCATTTAATGTGTTACTTGGTAGTGTACCAAACAAGGAAAGCAAGCCAGAAAACTGCAGATAAAGACTTTCAACCCCTGTACCTTGACCTGATACCTCTGTTTGCAAACATATTAATGGGTGTGCACCAAACCCAGGCAAGCATTATTTTAAAAACAGACCAGTACTCAAGCATAAGCAAGTTCACCAACAGTTTTTCAAACAAGTGACATCAAAGCCTCTCATCTCACAGCCAGGATAGGGAATCTTGTGGGTTTAACTCTGGTTTTTATGAGTACCCTGGGGTCTACTAAATACTGCCAGAAGCTAAAGGCTTATGCATAAAATAATTGTGATCCTAGGAAAGTTGAATGTAGTCTTTCCATATACAATCTAAGTTCTACATCCTTCAACTTATTTGCAGCAGCTTTCTTCCACCCCCAATTTTTAAAATAACTAAGTAGCTTTTAATTTGTTTTCTTATAGTTCAAGCAAATAAATCAGAGGACAAGTTTGAATGAATTCTTGATTTCATTGATACTCAGATTCTTTTTTATAACTCCACTTACCTCTTAAATTCTCTGGGGGAGAAAAATGTTTCATAGAATGACAGAAGTTTGAAAATAACTAATTTAACTTTTATGGAGAACTGCAGAGAATTCTGTTGATATTTTTTTTTATTTAACATATAGTTTAGTTAAGCTGAATAACTTCCAATTATATTGCTAATGAAAATGATTCAGCCTGATGGAAAATACATGCCATGATAATCACTTAATTTTCATTAAAATTAGAAACTCTATAACTTAAAAACTATTTTGCCATCATTTTCATATTCCATATTTTAAAATCAGAACCTGTTCATAACAAAAATCTACCAACAGTTTTATTTCTCTCTTCTGTCCTGCTACAGCCTCTATTTAAATCAATTAACGATAGCTCAGAAACAAAGCTTTAATGCTATGCACAAGAATGATGATTAGAATTATTAGAATGCCACTTTATGGTTAAGAAATTCAGATAAACCTTAAGCCAGTGTCTTTCAATATTATTCATAAATGATATTCTTGATACATTTGATTCTACACCATATTTTAGATCTATAGTTGAATAATCAGCATCTCACCTCATATACAAATTTAAAACACAGCATATGCCAGTGATATTTAATTGAATATATGGCCTCCATAAGCTATATGTTACATATGTAAATTTTTCAATATCATATTTATATATCATAGTATACAAATGATACATAATACAAGATAGCTGTATCCTTCCTGAAAGACTGCATACCTTTCACTGTGTGCACAATTATTAGGCAAATTCTGTGGATTAATTTTATTATTGAACAACTACAGTGTTCTCGGTTAATCTAAAATGTTAATAAACCTCAAACCTTTAAGAATATTTAAGAAAGTAAAAGTGAGGTTTTGGCTTTCTTAGGAGAATATGTGTGCAAAATTATTGGGCAATTATTAGTGTGCAGAATTATTGTGCAACTAAATGAAAAAGGAAAATTTTCCCATCTCACTCATTTATTTCCATCTGTTAATGTGAGAATAATAAACAAACAATTCAAAATTTGCAAATAAACATTTCTGACATTTCAAAAAAAATAAATCAGTGACCAATATAGCCTTTCTTTTCAATAAGTCATAAGCCCATTCATGGACTTCGTCAGTTTTTTGATCTGTTGACGATCAACTGTTTTAAGAAAGGCCCACAAGTTCTCAATAGGGTTTAGGTCAGGTGAGGAAGCTGGCCATGTCATTATTCTTTCATTTTTAAGGCCTTTACTGGCTAGCCATGCAGTGGAGTACTTCGATGCATGCGATGGAGTATTGTCCTGCATAAAAATCATGGTCTTCCTGAAAGATGCACACTTTTTCCTGTACCACTGCTTGAAGAAAGTGTCTTTTAAAAACTGGTAGTAGGTTTGGGAGTTGATTTTGAGTCCATCTTCAACCTGAAAAGGTCCGACTAGTTCATCTTGAATAATACCAGCCCATACCAGTACCCCACCTCCACCTTGCTGGCGACTGAGCTGAAGTGGAGCTCTGTACCAGTTACTGATCCAGCCATGGGCCCATCCGTCTGCTCTGTCAAGAGTCACTCTCATCTCATCAGTCCATTAAACCTTTGAAAAATCTGTCATCAGATATTTTTTGGCCCAGTCTTGCCATTTCAACTTAGGTGTCTTGTTCAGTGGTGATCGGGTTTCAGCCTTCCTTACCTTGGCCATGTCTCTGAGCACTGAACACCTTGTACTTCTGGCCACTCCAGGTAGGTAGCAGTTCTGGAATATGACAGCACTGGAGAATAATGGGTTCCTGCTAACTTCACATTTGATTCTTCTCAAACCTTTAGCAGTTAATTTGCGTCTTTTTTTCTCAACATGTTTCTTGGGATCCTGTTGACTATTTGCAACAAAATGTCTGATGGTTCTGTGATCATGCCCTGATACCTTAGCAGTTTCAAGAGTGCTACATCCGTCTGAAAGACTTTTTACAATTTTTGACTTTTCAGAGTCAGTTAAATCTCTTTTTTTGGCCCATTTTGCCTGAGGAAAAGATGATGCCTAACAATTATGCACACCTTGATATAGGGTGTTGATCTCCTTAGGCCCTACCCTCCCTCATTATGCAAAAACACATCACCTGATATGCTTATATCCAATAAGAATTCAAGTTTATACAGCTTGGAGGTGGAAAATATGCATTAAAATGATATTTTTACATTTTTAAAAAAGAACCGAGGTGGCGCAGTGGTTAGGGTGCAGTACTGCAGCTACTTCAGCTGACTGCTAGTTCAGCAGATCAGCGGATCAAATCTCACCGGCTCAAGGTTGACTCAGCCTTCCATCCTTCCGAGGTAGGTAAAATGAGGACCCAAATTGTTGGGGGCAATATGCTATTTAGTATACTGTCTTTGGTGTAAGCCGCCCAGAGTCCTTGGAGAGTGGGCGGCATAGGCATATGAATAATAAAAATAATTTTAAAAAAATATGGTCAAAATACTCACTTGCTTAATAATTGTGCACCATGTAAAAGTGGGTAGAATCTGATGCCATTCAAGTATGCTGACGTAAAATAGGCATGAACAGGATACATTTCTCAAATGAAATTTCACTTATGAAAAGAATCGAAGTAGACAGACTAGAGGCTTTAATTAACTTCACATTACTAGTGTACATTCTTGACATTCACTAAGCTTTATTTTAAAGAATGTTTCCTACATATAAAAAAATAGAATAAAGGCCACTTTAATTACTATCAGTAATAGTGACCTCTGCAAACATTGCATAGCTCCAGCCCCATTTGTTTACACTGTGGATCTCTCTCATTTGGTTCAGAATCCTTTACCGCAAATATAACGGAGGCAATAAAAACAGAAAAGAGGGGAGAGTGTGAATACTGAATAGTTTATTATACCAGGAGTCCATCCTTCCTACCTTACTCTATTATTCAGTTAAATATGTAAAAATATTAAGATGATTTATCATTTTTCCCTGTAGGAGAAACACAAAATATGTCAAGTGCTGCTATTCAGCTGAAGACCCATTCTCCCCACAAATGAAAGTCACAAAACCGAGCAAAAACATTTAAGGATGGTAAACTAAAATCATGCCACCCTGCTCTTCTCTAGATTCAAAAGATGAACTTGAGAGGTCTTTTGAAAATCCCAGCAAAACCAGGTAGGAAGTGAAATCCTTCCTTCCTCCTAAAGATGATGATTATAATCATAGCTATAATTACAACCGCAGTTAGGATTTGCTAGCGAAGTACATCATGGGAGCCTTCTCCCCACAGAAAGACATCACTTGGTCACCAAGCTATCAGCCCCAAGGCAAGGATGCACTGGGTTCATGCTACCAGCAATTCTGTAGGAGGTGGAGAAAGAAAAAAGGAAAAAAAAAAAGAGAGAGAGAGAGAGGGAAGAAGCTCACTCACTATTGCTCCAGGATTTCAGTAAATATTTGATACTGATTTCAAAGAAGCCGGAATCCTGTTGGCTGGCCATGGTTGCGGCATACAAGGAGATTCTCCGAGAGCAGCTCGTCGAGCGGCAGGTACTTTGCCGGCGAGATGGGACTGTCACCAGTTAGTGATGTAAACGGAGGGGTCAGGAGAGGAAATGAAGTCTCCGCAGAGCCTCTCCTTCCGCTCCTGAGGGGCGCTTGCTCCTGCAGTAGCGGCAGCTGCTGCTGCTGCTCTCTCGTCCACGGACAATGAACGAAGCAGCCTTGGCGATGCTTGTCCTCGGCTCATCCTTCACCGAGCGTGCCGCCTCCCCATCGCACGGAGCGTCTCCCCGGGAAGAGTCTAAGCGCCCCTTCTCACCATCCACCAGCTCGCTTAAAGCGCCGCCGCTGCTGCTGCTGCTGCTGTTGTGGGCTGCGGCTACTGCTGCATGAACGCCGCTGTCTCCTTCTTCTTCCTTGCCGGGTATTAGAGAGGAGCGGTCGGAAGGAAAAACACCTCTTCCTGCAAAACGCCCCGCAGCAGCCCAGGCAACCGGGGCGGCCCGGTGATTCGCCACCGACGAGAGCTTCAAGGGCCTTCCTCTCTTGCAGCCCCGGCGCGCGGGACGGAAGATGGGAAGCCAGCCGGAGTGGTTTTGTTTTGTTTTGATGCCAGCTGCTGCTGCTGCTGCTGCCGCCGCCGCCTTGTCAGCTGCTTCCCTCCCAAGAACAACAACAACGCCTAATTCTCAACAACTGCATCATGCTGCGGTAAAGCCCAAACTGCACCCATCCAGAGGGTGCAGTGACGGTGCCTCTTTTCTCCTCCTCCCCCAGGTTTTGCCCGGCGCTTCTCCGCGCTGCCTTAGTTGTTTGGGTTCTTCTTCTCTCTCGGCACCAGACAAATCGGAGCGGCTGCCGATACCATTTTGTCTTGGGTCAGATTTAAAGAGACAGCAGCCAGCGGAATAATGGCTTACTATATGAAAGCCCCTCTATGTATGCCCCTTATTTCATGGATATGGCCAAGCTACAGTAACATCCCTTTTCTGTACCAAGTTGGCCACCTGCTTTAGCAGAAGAAATGAAAATTGTACTGAAATCAAAGAGACTTCCTGATTACTCTCCCCCCCCCCCAAAATTAAGGTATATTTTACAAAAACAGAGCCCTAAAAATTGTCACTACTCTGAACTGGATGACTATGGACTACCCATATATGGGCACTTTGTACAGGGCTTCAGTGTCTGGAATATTGTCATTAAGCAGTATTTGTTTGCAAAAATAGAGGACTTTCCATATGATGAGCAACTGTGTTTCCACAGACAAGATTCTATGCATACACTGTGTATTTGTATGTGCATGTATGGGTATACATATGCGCATGTACATGTGTGTGTGAGAGAGAGGGAGAGGGAGGGAGGGAGAGAGAAAGAGAGAGAGAAAGAGAGGGAAGGAAAAAAAAGAAAGAAAGAAAAAGAAAGAAAGAAAGAAAGAAAGAAAGAAAGAAAGAAAGAAAGAAAGAAAGAAAGAAAGAAAGAAAGAAAGAAAGAAAGAAAGGCTTTTGACAGATTTCTAGCACACATAGCCAAAAAGGCTATACAGTATATTATATTAAATATGGTAGTATTTAAAATGCCATAAGTGAGTGTGACAATAAAAACACAAGTTATCCCTCTGAAAATTTCTTCAATTCCATCAATTATACCAATTATATCTTGTTGCTACTGATTTAAAAATAGTGTATATCCAAACAGCCATAAATAGTACCCTTTATTTATGTACCACAAACATATGTGATTTCTCATAGAATATAATAAAATCCTCATATCCCTTTTTGATTACTTCCAGAACCCTCTCTGAACACAACTCCAAAAAGCAGCACTTGCAAGACTGATGTCAGCAGAAGTAATTGAGACAAGAAGCACACCCTGAAGTACTAATTCTATCTTTATTGTAAGATTACATTAACAGAATCTTTCAAGTCTGAAAGTACATCTCTTGCACTTCATCTTTACAGTCCAAGAAATTGGGGGGGGGGTGTCCTTCTGAGACATTTGCTATGCCCCAATCCTTCTGGAAACTCAGCTGCTCTTCTCTGACCATTACCTAGTCTGTGGCTCCCTCTCCTACCTCCCAAGGTCATTCTCACATCCCATTACAGAGGCAGAGCTTCGATCACTACATTGTGGCCACTATCTTGACTTTTTTGACCTATGCTGCAAACATCCCTGGCTCTCAGATGCACCCTTGCAAAATCAGGATCTGCCCACTTGCAGTCATTTCGTATCCATTTTTAATTACCCTTGAAGAATGCTGAGATATCTCAGCTGATTTCTCAGGTGATCAAAACACAGGCATTGACTACTGAATGGAACAGGCAAAATATAATTATTGCAAAATTTTAAATAATGTCATTGGTTCACTGTCCATTTCTGAAAACATTTCTAATTTTGACAATAGCTCTTAATGGCTGCAGTCTGTATATCTGGAAAAAAGCCTGTTCCTACATTTTAAATTTTAAGCTTGCTCTTGGTGCCCCATGTTCTAAAGTTAGACTTATTAGCGAACAGGAAAGAACCTGTTCCTCTCTGAATGGCTTCCTTGATGCCAACATTGATGTATAATTCAGAACAGTATGAAATCAGATCAGTTTTTAAAGGTCTTATGCAATTTCCTGTCTCATTTTTTATTTTAAATTACTTTAATTGATGGCTACAACCTGACCTAGAAGCTTTCAGATTGAAGAGGTACAAATTTATTAAGCATACAAAATAGCAATTAAACTTCAGATATAATATAATTTAAAACTTCTAATAAGTTTAGTAAAATTAAAATACAAATTTACTATATTGATGAACATTATAATTTGAGGAAAATAAAATGCACAATTATATTTAGAATGAAAAAATGTCCTTTTCTATTATAATTTGACATAGGACCAGGGCATCTTTTCATGCATTTTTAAAGAACAACCTTAAATACTTAATTTATTGAACCAGCTCTGCTCCAAAGTTTAAATTACTTATTAATGTCCATTTCTTTTCTGAACCATTTTGTCTAGTGTCCTCTGATCAAAATATTTATAATAGAATTGTTCTCATAGCATCTGCCAGTATACTATTAACAAGTACTTTCATAACACACAAAACTGGCCATGCATGGTATGGTGTACATTAACTGCCTTGCTCTGGAATTACCAGTTGAAATGCAAATCAGCAATTCTACCTGTATGACCTGAAAAAAGGAACTGATTTGCATATTTTCTACCTGTAAAAATATCAGAAAAAGAAAAATCCTCAACCTCCTTCCCAAGTAGACCAAAGCTGATGAATGAGAAATTGAAATACCATTATCAAATCTTAGGATGGATAAAATGTAGGATTCAAATGCAGATACTTATTACATTTGTTTTTTCCTGTGAGAAACATGTTCCTCTGCTGCCCCCCAAGTGGCTTCAGAAACCAATGTTAGCGCAGCACAAGGATGAGCCATTAAACTATAGTATGAATAAACAACCACTTTACCATGTTTTCCTCTTGTCTATTAACCAGCACAAAACTATGCCAGACTTTAGGTTGACTTCAAGAAGAAAATGACGAAGTGGTAATGGGTAATAATCAGAAGGCTGACTTCCTAATTCTTGTTTCATGTCTGTCTTCTGTTAGATCTCCAATAGGGTTCTAGCTGATCATGGTTATGCCACTGAGAAAAGGATGAAACTGAAACTTGGAAAGACAAGAAAAAATAATTGAGAACTTGTCAAGAATTCAAGTCTCCAGTATTAGATGGACTATTGGTAATCTTAAAGAACTCCCATGAGAATAACAAAGTTCCAGAAGATTGGAAGAGCACAAATAGAAGGTCTCAATAAACTACTGTCCTGTATGCTTGAGATCTTTACTGCAAAAGGCAACATATTTGTGAAAGTTAGGATAAGTATGGTACAAATAACAGGATTTAGCATGGATTAATCAGAGATAAACCATGCTACACTAACATTGTTTTTTGACAGACTAGTTTAGTAGTTCAGGAGAATGCATTGGACATAGTGTAGAGATGAATCTCAACTAAATCTCCAGCAGAATATGATAATATTCTGGATTATACTGTTAGATGTAGACACAGTTAAATTAATGCACCCTAAAAGTGTTCAGTAATGATTCCAGGTTAACTTGGGAGGAGGTTATCAGGCCCCACACGATGCTATCCGGGGCCCTGTGCTGTCCAACATTTTTTATCAGTGGGGACCTGGTCAGAACAGAGTCCGGTGGAAAATTACTTTATGTAATCTGAAGTCTTGTTCTTATTGATGCACTTTAAGATAGTCTTTGTCTTTTTCAAGACTTTGTCTTTGTCTTTTTTGTATCATCATCACACTACTGGTTCATGTTTAACTTGTGATTGACAAGGACACCCAGATCTTTTTCATGTGTACTATTGCCAAGCAAAAAATGCCCTCTCCTATACTTGTGCCTTATGTGTACAGGTATTTCCAAATGTTCAAATACCAATATTTCAAATGTTATAGTAGGCTGAACATACTTGGATCTTTTAATCTTTCATCATAGGGATTAATTTTCAGACATTCCCCATTTTAGTAGGTCTCTTTTGATCTTGCTCCAGTTTTCCATTGGTGTTTTTTTTTTTCTCTCCAAACAGTGGTGTTCAGAATCTATATTCCATGTGCTACAGATGACTAGTCCAATTGGAATCTTATGGGTTAGGTTGACAGATTATAATTAACTCCAATTTATTAAGTGGATTCTGTGGCTTAGAGTGGTTTTGAACTTGGACCTTAACTGCATCACCATCAGCAGCTTCTAATACCCTTAGGCATCAGCGCTATAAGATTCAAAACACTTTTTACCTAAACTCAATTTTTCTCCTTTCATGGGAAGAAACAAACAAATGGTAAATTAATTGTAACAAGATTAGAATAATCACAACAAAATAATCAGTTTTCCTATAAGCCTGAAAGAACAAAATATTTCAGGATATTTTTTGTTCTACAGTATATGGAAAATATAAGGATCAGTCAAAACAGTTCTGCCTGTCAAAAATTCCCAGTTCACATACAGATAGGTTTCAAAGGAAGAACTTTAGCTTAAATTCTCCATGAAGTTTTAAACTTCTAACATGCCAAATCAAGCATAGAAGCTCCTATGCTTTCTGAAGCAATGTTGTAGCATGCAGAATGTATTCATGATTTTCCTAGTCACATAAATTTAGATTGAGTGCACAGCTTGAAAAACTAAATCTCCATGCAGTTCCTGAACACTTGGATAAATCTTGAAAAACCTGTACAGAAAATGCAAGTACCTCTAGTTCTGAATATATTAAAGAAAATTATGAAACACATTGAAATACAATTAAATGCAATTAAATAAAGTTATGTCTCATCCCAAAGTTGTGCATACTTGGAAAGCAATCCCCAGAACCCCCTCCTACATAATATAGAATGACTGAGTAGAAAGTAACCTTGGAGGTCTTTATGATCAACGCCCTGCTAGCTTAGTCATGTGACTTCAGTGGTTTGGAATAATAGTATAGTTCCAATGATCACTAGTTATGAGTGCTTCTTGTCTTTTGACAAGACGCAGTTCTGTGGGTGTGGCTTATGGGCGTGGTTTGATGGTCATGTGACAATTCTTTAGGATTTAGCAGAGGTACTGGTCTACCAGGCTTTTAACTGCTTGTAGAGCTGTACCGGTCTACCCATTTGTTCTTGGAGCGTCCTGGTCTACCCATTTGTATTTCGAGCGTCCTGATCTACCCATTTGTTCTTGGAGCGTCCCAGTCTACCCATTTGTTTTTTTTTAGCGTCCCGGTCTACCCATTTGTTTTTTTTTTTAGCGTCCCGGTCTACCCATTTGTTTTTTTTTAGCGTCCCGGTCTACCCATTTGTTTTTTTTTTAGCGTCCCGGTCTACCCATTTGTTTTTTTTTAGCGTCCCGGCTACCCATTTGTTTTTTTTTAGCGTCCCGGTCTACCCATTTGTTTTTGGAGCGTCCTGGTCTACCCATTTGTTTTTTGAGCACACTGGTCTACCACCACACTGCCTTTTAACATTGATCAGCTGTAGGGTGGCCCTTTGAAGCCCCGCGGCAAGAGTTTAAACAGTTTTTTTCCTTCCAGCCAATCAGCTGGGACTCGGGAGGCAGCAAAAAATTGGGGACGGGGCCAAATAAAAGGTAAGAATAACGCGGAGGGGGGCGGGAGGGCCCAGCTCCCGAACAAAGAGAACTGGTTCAGTGACGTCATATCGTCACTGCTACCGGCTCGGCTGAACCGGGCCGAACTAGGAGAAACCCACCACTGTGTTGAACCCCCTGCCCCAGAATCTATTTTGTGGCCTCAGAGTATTCCCAGATTGCAACTGAAATATATTAAAAAAGTCATACAAGTGAGTAGTGTTTTGCTCATATTTGCCATTAAAAGTTTTCTATTAAACCTATGTGAGAATTAGGCTTAGAATTCTGTGACATTTTAGTCATGGAACATCACAGGATGACACATAAGATCTGAAGACCTTGGATTCATAAATTGTATTATGTACTTTGAAAAATATTTTATCCAAGAGATCCAGGAAGAGGTGATTCTTGCATAAATTGTTATACTATAAATCTCTGTCACTCTCCACAGTAAAGAACAGTTGGGCAGATCACCAGGAGGATTCAATATATATTGTTCAGCACATTCTTCTAGATCTACTGAGCATTAGGCTCAGCCTGTCTTGCTCCAATTTACTAAGATTTCCTTGCTTTAATAATACATATATTCCCTCAATTTACTCACATACACATACCAATGAATTATAGTCTGATCTGAAGCTTATCTAAATACCCTTTTGAAGCTGCCTCCCCTCTGCTTATTTAAATAATTTTGGGGAACTATAAAGCCAAAATGGGAATCAATGCCAAACTAAATTTCTTAGGACTTATTTCAAGTTTCCTTCTGTGTCTCTTCACAGCAAGCCTGGTATCAGTAAGAATGAGAGCAGCATCTGGCCACATACTTTCATTTATCTGAGTCCTTCACTAAGTTTGATTCCTCCAATTATTATTGTTAATTACATTTTATCTTGGTCTACAGAAATAAAATACCGTATTTTTTGGACTATAAGACACATTCCCCCCCCCCCAAAATGGGTGGAAATGTCTGTGAGTCTTATATAGCAAATATTGTGGTGAGGGAGTGGGGGTTGGTGCGGTGCCAATCAGCTGGTGATCCCTGCTGCCTATTGCCGCCGCCCATTCGCGATGAACAGCAGCAAACGGGCTGCAGGGGTGAATGGGGTGTGGCGGCGGCAAACAGGCAGCGGCGAACGGGTGACTGAAAATGGGAGGCACAAACAAGCCTCAGCGGTGGCAAATGGGTGGCGGCGGCAAACAGGCTGCGGAGGCAGAGGCAGATTTTTTTTTTCTTGTTTTCCTCCTCTAAAGCTAATGTGCATCTTATACTCTGGAGCGTCTTATAGTCTGAAAAATATGGTAACTGGAAATTCTTTGATTCTATTGAACTCATTTTTGAATGCTTGGGCATGAATGTGCAATAGTAGCTTTGAGGCAATGGATTAAGGATATTGATATGGTGTGCAACTGGACCTATATTTCTTCCCAATATTATATTCCTTGTTAGTTCCTTTATTCTCATGAAACCTGTTAGATATT